TAAGTGCTTCAAAATGGTTTCCTTGAGGACCTGCTCCATGATTTTTCCAGGGACTGAGGCTGACTGGCCTGTAGTTCCCCGGATCCTCCTTTCCCCCTTTTTAAAAGATGGGCACTACATTAGCCTTTTTCCAGTCATCCGGGACCTCCCTCGATCGCCATGAGTTTTCAAAGATAACAGCCAATGGCTCTGCAGTCATATCCACCAACTCCTTTAGCACCCATGGACTTGTGCTTGTCCAGCTTTTCTAAATAGTCTTGAACCACTTCCTTCTCCACAGAGGGCTGGTCACCTCCTCCCCATACTGTGTTGCCCGGTGCAGTAGTCTAGGAGCTGACCTTGTTTGTGAAGACAGAGGCAAAAAAGCATTGAGTACATTAGCTTTTTCCACATCCTCGGTCACTAGGTTGCCTCCCTCATTCAGTAAGGGGCCCACACTTTCCCTGGCCACCTTCTTGTTGCTAACATACCTGTAGAAACTCTTCTTGTTAACATCCCTTGCTAGCTGCAACTCCAAGTGTGATTTGACTTTCCTGATTTCACTCCTGCATTCCTGAGCAATATTTTTATACTCCTCCCTGCTCATTTGTTCAATCTTCCACTTCTTGTAAGCTTCTTTTTTGGGTTTAAGATCAGCAAGGATTTCACTGTTAAGCCAGGCTGGTCACCTGCCATATTTATTATTCTTTCTACACATTGGGATGGTTTGTTCCTGCAATCTCAATAAGGATTCTTTAAAAATACAGCCAGCTCTCCTTCACTCCTTTCCCCTCATGTTATTCTCCCAGGGGATCCTGTCCATCAGTTCCCTGATGGAGTCAAAGTCTGCTTCTCTGAAGTCCAGGGTCCGTATTCTGCTGATCTCTTTTCTTCCTTGTGTCAGGATCCTGAACTCAACCATCTCATGGTCACTGCCTCCCAGGTTCCCATCCACTTTTGCTTCCCCTACTAATTCTTCCCTGTTTGTGAGCAGCAGGTCGAGAAGAGCTCTGCCCTAGTTGGTTCCTCCAGCACTTGCACTTACAAAATGCAGAGAAGGTACCAATGTGAGATTTCTAAAGATAGCTACAGCACTCAGCCCAAGGTTAAGAATCTGAAGTACCTTCCAAAATCTGAGAGGGACGAGGTGTAGAGCATGCTTTCAAAAGTCTTAAAAGAGCAACACGCTGATGTGGAAACTACAGAACCCGAACCACCAAAAAAGAAAATCAACCATCTGTTGCTGGCATCTGACTCAGATAATGAAAATGAACGTGTGTTGGTCCACATTGCTTTGGATTGTTATCAAGCAGAACCCTTCATCAGTATGGACACATTCCCTGGAATGGTGGTTGAAGCATGAAAGGACATACGACTCTTACAGCATGTAAATAACTTGCGACGCCGGCTACAACAGTGCCATGAGAATGCCTGTTCTCACTTTCAGCTGATGTAAACAAAAAGCGGGCAGCATTATCTCCTGCAAATGTAAACCAACTTGTTTGTCTGAGTGATTGGCTGAACAAGAAGTAGGATTGAGTGGACTTGCAGGCTCTAAAATTTTACATTTTGTTTTTGAGTACATTTTTTTACAAAATTCTACATTTTTAAGTTCAACTTTCATGATAAAGAGATTGCACTACAGTACTTGTATTAGGTGAATTGCAAAATACTATTTTTTGTTTTTTTACAGTGCAAATACTTTTATTCAAAAATAATAAGGTGAGCACTGTACATTTTGTATTTTATGTTGTAATTGAAATCAATATATTTGAAAGTGTGGAAAACATCCAAAAATGTAGTATTCTATTATTGTTTAACAACATGATTGTTTGCACAATTAATTGCGATTAATTTTTTTTGACAGCCCTAATGAAAATCTCTGCCAGACGCACATGTTAAAAAACAAAACTAGGGACGTTCAACTCTAATTGCAAAGCTTCAATTCTAATGTCTAAAGTGACCTGTAGGAATGGGAGAATTGAATAAACAGTATACTGGTGTCTTCTTTTTGGCGTATTCTACTGGACATTTGTAAAACATACTGAAGATGGTCACTATACAAGATCAAAAGATGATTGTACTAGTAGTTGTGACTTTTGAGTTTTATCCTGCTAGGAAAGACAATAATTTTGAGCTTTTATTTATGTACCTTGATTCATACAACAAATTAGAACATTGTGCAAATGCAACCATTTTGCTTCTTTGTTTCAGTCAAGGAATATTGCAGGACTTTAATTTCCTTTGATGGTTCAAACGAAGATGAACTTGGTTTTAAAGAAGGCGAGATTATCCAGATAATAAGTAAGGTAAGGGTTTACTAATCACTTCGAGTTTTCGTGAATGTAGTTGAAGTACAGAATAAAATGGCAGGTCTACACTTAAAATGCTGCATTGTCACTGCTGCAGTGTTTCAGTGAAGATGCTACTATGCCAACGGGAGAGCTTTTCTGATTGGTGCAGTTAATTCACCTCCACGAGAGGTAGTAGCTCTCCCGCCAACATAGTGCTGTCTACGCCTGGGGTTAGGTTGGTATAATACATTGCTCAGGGGTGTAGATTTTTTTTACATTGGTATAACTACATTGCTCTGGGGTGTAAGTTTATAGTGTAGACCTGGCCTTAGTAGCAGTAGATCTCATAATTTCCAGATCTATTCCAGTTAATCTGTTTTGTTCCACATTCTGATAAATTATTTTATCTTGGTAATAGATCAGAGTTTGTCCTGGAAGTTAACCATATGCTGTGCTATAATCTCATAAAAGCATGAAAATAAGTCCTTTCCTTATTGATTTTTAACCACTTTTCATTTGGCAAGCACTTCCCCCATCGATTTCCAGGTGTGGTGGACTGGGTTGTAGTAGTGAGTTGATTTCTCTTTAAAGAAACAGTTGAATTTTGCATTGAAATGTTGACCTGCAATATTTAATGTTACAAATATATTTTAAGCAAGGATTATTGTCAGTATGAAAATCCAAATGTTTTGTAACATTTGGGATCTCAGAATCATAATACTTAACAAAACTGCTTTATGGTGGCCAATCTGTCTCACTACTTAAAGGAATAAACTTTTGTCTGAATATTCACTTATTTGTGCTAGTAGATATGAAAGAGAGAGTCAGTGTTGAAAGGTAGCAGTTGCATCCCTAACCCATTTTATAAATGTTCTGCTGTAATAAAGACAGAAAATATCTAAAACAAGGGCTGGAAATCATATGTTACTGCTTAATTTTCCTCATCTGTAGTCCATAATCTTCTTTTTATATTAATCACATTTTACTAAGTGGGATATTAGAGGATTGATTTAGGTGGGGAATTGGAAGCATATTAACTACAATCCAGTTTTCATGTTCATAGTAGTATACAGTGAGGAGCATAAATACACATAAGCTAAGCTTCTTTAAAAGGATTTTGAGTTTTTTCAAGAGATTCCAACATGTCTTTGATGAAACAAGAAAATCATTGTAGCTATCATTATTTGCTTGCGTTACAGTAGGACCTGGAAGTTAGGTAGGTTTTCGTAAGCACCAAATGATTAAGACAATTCTTGCCCCAAAGAGCTTACTATCCAAGTAGGCAAGACAAGCAAAAGAGGCAGAAGGACACAAAGAGACAGTGATTTATCCAAGGCCATACAGCAGGAATAGAACCCAGTCCAGTGTCCTTAATCCCAGTCCAATCTCTATCCACTGAACCACACTGCTTGCGAAGTCTAGATTTCTTAAAAAATACTTATCCCAGTCCCAGGTTTCGATCTTATCTAAATTTCTGCACTTAATGTCATAGCCGTTAACATAGCTAGGAGCTGGAGCAATTAACTTTTCTATTTTTCAGTCTTCCTGTGTTCACTTGCCAAAGGGAAGCAAAATTATAGATTAGCAAATGTAATGGGGACAAACATAGTTTCTGAGCCGGTGACCATCTCCTAAAGTAGTTTTTGCGTTTTCAAAATAGAAAAACTGCAATTTTGTTTGTGCGGATAAATACTTTGTTGGTTTTCTCCATAAGTGGAATGCTATTGAAAACCTGTAGAATGATGCATATTACTTACAAAGCGCCATACACAGCAGTGGCACTATATTTTGTTTTGTAAAGGCGGAGTTCTTTCATATCAGGTTAGATCTAGGTTTGCATAAGGATACAGTCAAGTCATAACAAGATTTTAAAATTTGTACTAATTTTATCCTCCCGTTGTTGCTTGGAACTGATGTGTCCACCCCTCCCACCCACCTTAAATTCCCCTGTATCCAGTGTTAAATATAAACTGGCTCCCTTCGACTCTGACCATAGAATCAGATACATAAGGACCCTTGTATCCACTCAGATCCAATTGCAAGATTGGGGCCTTTCCAGGGCCGGCTCTAGGCACCAGCAAAACAAGCTGGTGCTTGCGGCGGCACATTTTTAGGGGCGGCATTGCCGGCGCCAGAATGCCGCCCCTAAAAATGTGCCCCGGCTGCCCTAGCTCACCTCTGCTGCTGCCACTTGCGTGCCGTGGCGCGCGAAACAGCTGATTCGTGCGCCGCTGCTCCCCCTCCCTCCCAGGCTCTCAAACCTGGGAGGGAGGGGGAGATCCCGAGCGGCCGCGGTGCGCGAAACAGCTGATTCACGTGCCGCTGCTCACCCTCCCTCCTAGGCTTGAGAGCCTGGGGGGAGGAGGCAGGGCTGGGGATTTGGGGAAGGGGCAGAGCTGAGGTGGGGCCAGGGGTGGGGTAATAAAAAAATGGGGGAGGAGGAGCGGCCAAAATTGTTTCTGCTTGGGGCGGCAAAAATCCTAAAGCCGGCCCTGGGCCTTTCTGTACTAAAGCTCGTAGTTGCTGGATTCCTGACATTAACAAAATTAGTAAACTCCAGAGGATAATGTGAAGTTTACAAAGAGACTTTAATGGGAGAAATGATAAAACATTTTGAGTCTGTAAACTGGCAGGGTGTCAATTTGGTTTTAGTTTCTTGTATTGCTGCCTCCTTCATTTAGCTCAGTGTGTTTATGAATTTTTCGTTCTGAGATTCAGCAGCTGTTCTGAGCTGAATTGGATATGCATGCTAGGACCCAATCTTCTGTTGATGGAATGAGCCAGTTGTTACTGTCAAAAGTAGCACATTTCAATAATAGTTTATTCAACCTGTATAAAGTGGTGATAGCTATTAATGTTGGAAGAAAAGCCTTAAATTGAATCACTAAAATAATGTTAGGCAACTTGATTCTGTGCATTAAGGTGTTGCAATACCCTGTAAAAAGGGTTGAACATATTAAGCCCTCGATCCTGCAAAAATATGTGCTGTCACACTGAACTCTGTGAAACAAAAATATCTTTCTCTGGCTCTTTATACTGTATTCTTAACTTGTCCCCTCCCATACAGATCGTATTACTTTTCTCCCTTGCCTTTCTCAGTCCAGTAGTTCTCATAAAATTAAATCATTCAAACAAGAGATATACAAAAAAAAAGTATATATTTGGAAGAGATCTGTGAATGTCCGAGAAATAATTTGTCTTCCAAGGCAGTGACTACAGTTATGCGATGCATTAGGAGGTTTCTTTTATATCCACATTTCTTTATTCTACTTCCATTCACAGATGCCTTTCAAATAGATATTTCATAATAGTTTTAATCCTTGTTTTAAAACAAATAATAAAAAACCACGTTGGATAGTCAGGACATCTTAGAATTTTTTTTCCTGATTCTGTCGAACCCTGAGCTACTTGCAGCTGATTCCCAAATATAATTGAACTGTTTAATAAGGCTTCCTCTTGAAAAACACTGCATTTTTTTTAGTTGAGGAGATATTTTACAACATTGGTAAAAAGAGATGGGTTTTGTACTATATAATGAACTTGTGCATGCTTTTTTTCTGGAGCTCTACTTGCTCCATAAAATGAGTAAAGATTAAGTGATGTTGTTCAAATAAAAAGTACCATTATTTGTTTTAGGATACTGGAGAACAAGGATGGTGGAAAGGAGAGCTTAACGGTAAAGAAGGAATCTTCCCAGACAACTTTGCTCTTCAAATACAAGAGTCTGATAAGGACTTTCCAGTAAGTTTTTAGTGTTTTTTCTTTTCTTACAATCAAAAGAAAAGCCACAGATCCTTTGTCAGAAATGCAGATATATATAAAAAAAATACTTAGTGTATTATACCACTTAACAATGTTAATATTATGATGCCAATTTTTTTACTGTATCTTCAATTTAAAATTTCTTTACGGGAGGAGGTCAGTATTTTTGTAAAGCTTCATTGGAAAGTGTGCAGACTTGTACAATTCTGGATCTCAGTGAAATACTTCAACCTAACTTGCCTCTTTCAAATTCATGGTGTATATTTTTAACCTTTGTGACTAGGGTCTTTTAGGAAGGGGGGAAAAAACGCTTATTCATATGCTGTATTTCATCTCTCACTGTACAAATTTCATATGGACATAGCATTCTGCGTTAGACCATGCACCACTACTTTACAGCATACTTAACTGTTGTGAGGAGTTCCCAGACCTGGTTATCCCAGCACTGGTGACAAAGATTTAGGTTATGCGAGTGCATTTCGTATAAGTGTATAAACCTGGAGTTACTCAATGTCAAAATACATCTTTGTGCCTTAGACAAGTAGTTATCATATCCTTCTGGTTTAACAAGAAGGTATTTTGTCTTCTTACTACCATTTAGAAATAGGATATGTGTCTTGTGATGTCAGCCCCACCTTCAGCAGCTAGTTTTGAATGAGCAATCAGGTTTGTTTCCAATCTCCAGCAAGTGGGACAGCTTTTTTGACCGACTGAGCTGGGAATTTTGTAGTTTTTGATTCATTTTCAATTTGTTAGTACTGTCAAAGCAGAAACTGAATTTTGTGTATTTAAAAAAATAGAATTGGTTAAAAAATGGAATTTTTGTCCTGTGGGAAATTCTGACATTTTGAAATTTGTCCTGAATTAGGACAAAAAATTGAGAATTGGAAATTCCAAATTTTTTAAGTTCAAAACTACCTTATTGAAGGTAATTGAAACATTTTTTTTTTAGATAATTTTGAAACGCAAGTCAAAATGGGAAAGTCAAAAATAAATGAGAATATCTAAATGAAATACTTCATTTCAATTTGTTTCAAAATGTTTCAAGATGAAATTTCATCTTTTCTTACCTGTATCACTGTTCTGTTTATAATTAATTTCCCCCAACCCATTTAACTATTTTAAAGTTGTCAGGCTTAGCTAGGTGTTTGTGTAGTTATGGTTTAAGGCCTAGACAGTTACATAATAAATGAAGCACTAGCTTTTCTAAGTTAGGTGCATGTGTTTGTACATTAACCATGGTTATGTGAGTGTAAAGATAAGATTTGCATATGCACATTATACATCTCTGAGCATAAATTAGACTTGTGCAAATATACACAGATCATTGACTTCAAAAATCCCAATTGGAAGTTTGCTTTCTGTTGCTGTAAAAGGTGATTATATTACACCTTTCTTCTGCTGTATACCCTAAGAGATAACAAATCTATCAGTAGCATAGCATTTAAGGCTATTGTGCACTACAAAGGCATTGCCAATAACAGATAACCTGGCAGAGCCCCCTAATGGAGGAGCAGCTTATCCCAGTGTAGTTTAACCATCTCTGTGAGCGACATTAGCTATATTGGCAAATGACCCATCCTACAAAAAGTAATTTTCCCTCTGCTGATACACTCACCTTTCTTGTCAACTGTTGAGAATAGGCCACTTCCTCCTTAATTGAATTGGCTCGTTAGCACTGACTCCCTACTTGGTAAGGCAACTCTCATCTTTTCATGTGCTGTAATATATATTCTGCTTACTGTTTTTTTCACTCCATGCATCTGATGAAGTGGGTTTTAGCCACGAGCATGTTCTCTAATTGATCAACATCGTAACAACGTTAACCAGGATGACTTTTAAGTGAGGAGTTTCTTTACATCAATATAGCCAGGAAAATATTACGTCTTATAGTGATTTCAAAAAATATTAAGGAAGTTGGCTTTGTTAATTCATAGGACTGTGCATTATCCCAGAAAGTCACCACTCATGTTTCTAGAGAAAAGGCAAACAAAAATTGTCGTCAAAACCAAAAAAACCAGGGAATGACTACACCTTGGTGGTTGTGGTTAGCAGCATTTTAAAATAGCATTTCCAATAACATTATCCTCAATGCTAAATTTAACAATAACTCTGTCCTTTTGCTACATTTCATTGCTTGGATGATGAATCTGTTGTTGGTCAGGCAGTTTCAGTGCTACTATCTGATGAACACTAAAATGCATGGAATCAAATCTATCCTCCTGCTTTTCTAATAGGCTCTCCACTTTGCAAGTGGTATAAATATTGTAAGTCTTCACTGTTGCACAAAATCTTTAACATAAGCAACTTTCAGTATTGACTCATTGCAGCGAAACTACTGTTAATATTTAAGATTATATTTTTAAAATATTGATATCAATGTGGAAAACTGAAATATTTATATTTATCGAAGTATACTGTGTTGTGTGCATATGGAAGTTGCCATACTCAGAAGTTTTACTTGGCATACAAGGTTTCACTCTAGGACTTTCCTAAAAGCTTTTATAATAATTTAACAACACACTCTCACAATTAAAATCCAGGGAAAATCCTCATACAAAGTGGAGGGAAATCTGTCTATAGCCGGAGCCCCGGGGCCAACAGCCGGAGCAGTCAACATGGTGTCTATACGGACACTGTGTCGACCTAATTACATCGACCTAAGCACTATGCCTCTTGCAGAGGTGGAGTTATTAGATCAGTTTAGTGTGCAACTTACATTGGTGGGAGCAACATTGTAGTGTAGACACTTACGTCCATTTAACTCTGTAGTAATGACCAGGCTGTGGGCAGAGGGCTTTTGCTGAGTAGTGTGTGAGCAGGCAGGGGCAGAAGAGAATAGAGAGGGAAGAAGCAGAACAGAGAAGCAGAGACAAAAAGCAAGCTAGCCAATCAGTAGCCTCTGAGACCAGTGTGGCCATGGGAAAAGTTAGAGACAACTTTGAGGTCTGTTGTCTAAAGAGGCTTGGTGCTGTAAGCTAAGAAACTGAAACTGTTACTTTTGTTCTTGGTTCCTCCTGCCTTTGGAGAAGCAGGTCTTTGTAAACAGGTATTTCTTTGTTGCAGTTTTGTTTATCACCGATTTCTACTCCCAACTGGAACATCCACAGCGCCCCAAATTTTGACTAGTTGCTCAGATCCAAAAGGGACAACATTATATTTTAAAGGCGTACTAGAATGTAAACAAACCTAAGACTTCAGTATTTCATAGTCTCAAATTTGATGGGAAATATCCAGGTTAAAAATCACTCATTTTAAAAACAAGAATCTTCAGCTGTGATATTGTGATACTGCAGTATATTTAAACAGGAAACTTTTTAAACATTCTTTCTCTGTATTTAATCTGCTTGATTTAATTTGTACCTTTCTCTCTGCTGGTGCATAAGCAGATGTGTCATTTTAGGTTTAGTTTTTTGAGTTCCCAGGCTGCGATGTTTAGGGTGCAAACACTCCAGGGAATATTTATTAGCTTCCCCCACCTAAAAAAACCCCTTTTATTGTAACTCAAGAAACAATTAAAATATTTCTTTGATCTTATTTTTTTAAAAACATATTTTTTGTAAAAACTAAATCTTTGGCCAGTTTTTGTCTGATTCTTTTAATATTGCCTGGTACAATGTAGGTTTATTAGTATTGCCCTACAGTTATAGTTGTTAAAATGAGTAAGTAAATTGCTTTGGCACTATAAAATGCATAATTTCATTTGTTTTAATTTTTGGCTGTCTGTCCAAGAAGGATTTTCTGTAATTTCTTGAGCAATGGAATGGGACTCAGGAGACCTGCTGGGTGACCTACGATAAGGCACTTCATTGCTCTGTGCCTCAGTTTCCCCATTTGTAACATGGGAATGGTACTGAACTTCTTTGTAAAGTACTTTGAGGTCTACTGATGAAAAGTGCTATGAGTTTGCATGTAAGCTGATAAGCAGATGCCAGTCTTTTTCTATAAAATATATTGATTCTTTATCCTCTTTGCAGAAGCCAAAGAAGCCACCACCTCCTGTTAAAAGTCCAGGTATGTAAAAGTTGCATGCTGATAAATGTACTGACAATCTTTGAGCATTAAAAGGAACAAAAGTCACTGCTCTAGAAGCTTCATAAATGCAATGAGAGTTTAGAAACAAGTCATTTTATTCAGTCGTGAAGGCAAGATTTTCTAATTTTAGTGTACCTGTGTAAAGACGTATGTTATGCTCTACATTCACGGTGATGTGATATGGCAAGAGTTTAAGATGACTTTCCAAACTCAAAAGTAGCTTTGCATTTCTGAGCAGTACAGCAACCCCAAATTCATGCCAGTGACACTATGTATTCTGCTATGTATTTTGTTTGACACATCTGACAGAACCTAGTTCTGAATCTTAGTTTAGAAATATTTTAATACTTCCTCACATCTTTGAGTTTAAATGAATGGTTATACACTATATTATGATCCTTGGCTAGAAGGAACAGTATAAATACAAATAATCATAGGTTATATTTTTAGTGAATGACTAGGATAATTATAGTTGCTTGAGAAATGTGTCCGGTTTTGTTTTTATATTCAGCTCCTAAGCCTGAACTTCCAATAGGAGAGAAGAAGTTTCTTTCTTCTAGACCTGAAGAAAAAGGTGAGACCAATTTTCTTCACCTTGAAATTAAACTGAGATCATGTAAAAGAACTAAACAATATTTAGTTATTTTGTTTTAAGTAAATAAAATACCTGTATGGGAAAAGTTATCATAATTGTTTCTAAAACTATGCAAGTATGTTAAGGATTTTAGATTAGTGTGTGTCTGCATTTAAATCTACATATTGTACATTATGATAACACTTACTTGCTTTTGCGGAGTCATTTTCTTAGTCTTGAAATTGGAGCTAGTATGACAGTTTATAATGACCTACTTGCAGTTTTAATAATTTGCTTAAATGCAATTTTGTAATAAATGTGGTGATGTAATTCTGGATAACAATGGATATTTATTAAAATAAATATTTTGGAAATATCAGTTACTGCTCTTATAGAGAATGTTTCACCAAACATGTGAATGGCTTCAATTGAAAGTTTTGTTTGAAAAAAACGCCAAAAGTGTATCTACAACATTGTACTAATGTTATTAATTTGTAGGGAGATATTGTGATTCTAGACTTTTAGAAGTGAAAAATCTCCTATCCTGTAAACACTTAAACCATTCAGTCTTCGTGCAGATTTTATCTTTCAGTGTTTCCGTTTTCACTAATTGTAGAAAAGTTGGCTAATTTACTCACACTACATTTCACGACTTGAAAGCCTCAGAACTATCTCTTAAAAAAATAAAAAATTTGTTTTTAATGGTCTGAACCAAATGTAATGTTTCTAAAATTCTCCTCTTTGTATTTGGAAAAATTGAACAAGGAACTAAAGGTCCATACAGAATTTGCTTTTACTAGGATAAAGATAAAACTTCTGACAAATTGCCATTTCTTTCTCAAAGTTTATCCGTTTCATATGACTTGAAAGAAAAAATGCTATTGTTATAACAGTTTGGCCATACTTTGTAATGCAGCCGATGAACCTTGGCCATAGAATGTGTTCAGGACAGCATTTTCAAATGCACGATTAAGAGTAAGCCAGCTCCATTTGAGTTTTAGCCTTTCTGCTCAAATTTTGAATAACCTGCTATGTAAACTACGTATATTCTTTGGAGTAATCCATATGCATGAGTGTTTAGTGAGCCATCTTGCGTCTGAATATTATTAGAGAACAAATACTTTTTTTCTTCATTGGACCACATTCTTCCTTTTCCAACTAATTGAAGTCAATAGATTGACACCAGGGCTGAATTTGGTGTCCATTTGGCAGCTAAAATAAACCTGAAAAAACGAATACTTTGTTTTGATTCTGTTTAAGTTAATACTGTTATTAACACTATTAAATTAAACAAGCTACTAGCTGCAGAATAATAGGCAAGAAGCAAATTATATAGAACATCAAATTCTGGGAAATTCTGCATTTTTAAAAATGGAAAGTGAAGTGCAGAGCTGTGCCTTTCTATAGAACTTTCTAAAATGGGTGAAATTCTAAGGCCTGTGTTATGCTGGAGTTCAGACTAGATTATCATAATGGTCCCTTCTAGCCTTAAAATCTGTTAAGATAAATAGTAGTAGTGTTTTGCTTTAAATAAACTTCCATTTATATTTGCATTTTCTACCTTTCCTGAAAACATGTACAAATACTGCTAATCATTTTAATAAAATATTAAATTGTGGTGGAATTAGTCCTGTTAAAATATTAGCTAATATTAATATGAAATTATAAACCTTATTATGAGAGACTAATTAGGCTGTTATAGCCCAAGTCTGTCCTTAATTGGACAAGAATTGGTTAGCTGCTCTTTTATATAAGCAGTATTTTTATACAACTATTGAAAGGACGTTTAATGACGTTAGTTACATTTACTAAGAGCAAGAAGTTATCAGTATGGTATTTTCCTTTCCATTATGTAGCATTAACTTTTAGCCAACTTTTAGTATCTTTTTCATTGTTTTATTAACTCCAGAATAGTTGTTAGAGTACAGAGTGCTATAGCTTTGTATAGCAAAAGAGACTGATCCCTCTGGTGTGGTGATCTGTGGTAAACAAAGTATTTAGTAATGAATTTTTTTTTCTTGGTTTGTGACAGCCTTCATATTTAGGTTTTGTTTTGTGGAAAAAAGTTCAGATGATAGCATTCTAAACATTGAGGAATATCACATAATAAAAACAAAAATGTCAGAATAGTTGACTCTAATTCATATTTATTTTTTATCGATTTTCTTTTTTAAATATAAAATTATTGATCCAGTTTGGTGACTGGTATTGGTTGAACACAACGTTGTAGAACTTTGTGCTGCCTTTCTTCACTCGTATCACATATATTTGTAATTTCTAAAGTTTAAAATTGTTCAGCCAGCCAGTATACATAGACCAGAAAAAAACCAAATTAATTAACAAGACTTTTTACACAACACTAAATCTCATAATTGTGTATTTATAATTTAGCAGCACCATGTGGCAAAATTGTGTATTGTCCCATTATATCAGTTACTCCAACTCAGTACCAAAAAAGCGCTGCTGGAGATATGATTCCAATACACTGAGCCTTTTCACTGATTTACTAGTATGCTTCATATCTTTGAATTCTACTATCTCAGGCCTTCAGATATTGCAATAAGACAGTATTTATAGTAGATTCTGTCATAGGTGGTATCTCACCTAAACACTTCACAATCTTCTATATGTTTATCCTCACACATCCCTGTTGAGGTACTACTGTTACTAAGTGCTACTATCCCCATTTTACAGCTGGGGAACTGAGGCACAGAGAAGGTAAGTGACTTGCCAAAGGTCACACGGAGTCTGTGGCACAGCAGGGAATTGAACCTGAGGCTCCCATATCTTAGGCTAGCACCTTAACCACTGGAGCCTATTTCCTCAGATACATTATATAGGGTTTGAATTTCTGACCACTTGCATTTAAAGCAAGAGATATTCCTCTGCTCTACCAAGCCCCTTTGATTCAGCCTTGTGCAAGGAATTGAGAACGTTTAACTTTAATCCTGTGTATAGGTTTCAACAAGTGACTTAAGGTGTGTCTAAACTGCATTCATGGGGTTTGAATACAGCTCCTGTAGACATACCTGAGCTAACTTTAGTCTAGCTTGCTCAGGTACTGATAGCAGTGAAGCTGCAGCAGCACAGGCTTCAATGTATGCTGTACAAGCTGTCTAGAACCCTGGGTAATTACTCGGTTTGCAATCCTGTGCTGAAGCCTGCGATGCCGTGGCTTTACTGCCACTGGTACCCGAGCTAGCGAGGTTAAAACTAGCTCGAGTATCTCTGCACAAGCTGCAGTTATACTTCCAATTGCCGCGTGTAAACACCCTGTATCTCTGCCTCTTTTGCCATCTACAGAGAGGGAATAATGCTTACCTAATGTCACAGGAATGTTGAGGATTATTGTTTAATGCTTGTACAGTGGTTTGAAAATATAAGTACTCCACAAAGTACTAAGTTTTACAATGTGTGTTTTCCCTCATTAATTGACAAAATCTGAGCATATGGCGATGAAACAATGGAAGTTTAGTTGTCCTGTTTAACTTTCATACATTTGTTTGATATTCAGTTAGTATCACCAGTGTGTATGTAGGAAGACAAGGTCCTTAACCAACAGAATTTGAATCTAAATGCACAAGGAAGTCATCATCCAGAGATCACTCCTGCTCTGTGATGCATGTGTAAAAGAAACAGTGATAAACATCTATATCTTTAGTAGTAGATGTAATGAACTGGTGTAAGGGGAAGGCATTAGACATACAGCAGGAATTCTTGTGTATGTGTGACTGACTAAGCTGTTGTCTGCAGTGCACTAATGAATCGCTGACCTATTACCAGGAATATCACTGAAGAAGTTGTATTAAGTGTTTATGCTAACCATATTTATTGTGTCCAGGTGTATAGTTTTTATGTCTAGATAAAAGTAAAAAGTGGAAATGTGCATGTCTCAAAGTGATGCAGCATCAAATCTTCAGGGAAATCATGTCTGATAGCGGCCATTAGGATGAAATGCCAAAGTGTCCTAGATAAATTACTCTAATGTATCTAAAAAAGTTTTTGTGCCTTATTTTGTAAGATGAAAAGGCAGCTCTGGATCAGAAGCCTTCTAAGCCAGTAGCTCCCCAAGTACCACCCAAAAAGCCTGTTCCTCCAAACAAGAATACTAATGTATTTAAAGCTGGGCTTCTGCATCCAAAGCGACCAGATAAACCAGTCTTACCATCGCCTGTGTCCAAGTGAGTATATTTTTATTTAATTTTAACCCAATGTAGTAAATAGATTTCGTTGGTTTACGCTTGCATGTGCTTCATTGCTAAACTGTAAAACCTTAATTAATCTGAAAGTGAAAATGTCATAAGGATACACAGTGCTCTATACTTATCAGTGCTTCAGAAATTCTCTGGGTGGTGATCAGCTTTACCTTTTGTTAATTTTCTAATTGTCAAGTGACATTTTACTTGAATCAGATAAGAGGGAACCTTGCACCATAACCTGCATTCTGTGTGGCCCTCTGAATCAGTAAACTGCAGTGCAAGTTTTAAAGCTGCTGCATTCTGTGTAAGTTATGTCCACAGAAAATGAGTCACTAGTGGTGTTCTGTGGTATGCTGGGTAGAGGAGCCTGTGAATGTTACGCTTAAGAAATGAATTACCACATTGGAGAGAGCCGCACATCACTGTGTAAATGACCAAATTTCTCACTTAAGTATTGTCAGTATAACTCCCCACTCCTGGAGCGCACAGGCCCTCGCTGTTGAAGTCATTGTCCTGTAGAAAAGTAGTGACCATTGGGAACCGTGAGTGAGGTCATATAAGGATGTGAAACTCCAAGATTCCTCAGTTCTTTTCAACTGCCTGAGTGGATTTAAATTCTCTGTCTTCCCTTCGTAGTTCATATTATAGCAGAGTAACAGCAAGCACTATTGTTGAAGTTGCATATCAGCCTCTATTCTAATCCTGATTTCTAACCCCTAGTATTAAAGTTTAATTTATCTTCTATTCTGACCCCTGGATTTTAGTCACTGACAACTTTCTGAAGTTTTATTTTTTCAGACTGAAATTTTTCCATGCCTGGTCTCTGCCTGATGAGGTGACATTTTTTTTGTCAGTTTGAATAAAAACAAATCAGCTCTTTTTGCAGTGTAAGGAGAGTGTGAGAAAAAACACTGTCCCATTGTAACCAAACCAAAAAGTCTTGTGATCTTTTTTGAACAACTTTAAGTCTTGTAGGAGATGGGCTGTCTCCTGCTTCTCTCCTGAAGATACATCTACACTTATGGTGGCCTGCGGAGTACAGACACTGCACACCCAACTAGCACGGGTATAAATAGCAGTGTAGGTAGTGAGGCACAGCTTAGGCAAGTAAAGTGCCCTAAGGTATATACCCTACATAGCTGTCTGCACTTCCAAGCAGTACCTCCCACGTCTACACTGCTATTTTTAGCAGTGTAGTGTTCCACGGCTAGTGCCTTTCCCTGCCACGGGGAATTGTTCTGGCAGGGGAGGCAGCGAAAAGTCTCTGACAGTGTGAAACGGCTCTGGCAGTTCCCGCTGCTTCTCCCCTGCTAGAGCCTTCCTTGCCGCAGTGAAAGCCTGTGGCAGTGGGGAGCTGCTGGAGTCTTTTCCACTGGTCTCCCTCCCCACCCATCAGAGCATTTCATTGCCGCATGTGGTTACGCAGCACAGTGACAAGCGTGAGCTCAACCTGCTTTCACTATGGCATGTAGCGGCTGTGTCGTGTCTGTACTCAACATGCCATTGTAAATATAGATAAGGCATAAGATGCTTGGGACAGGTCACTCTTCCTTGGTATCTAGCCATACTGTGCGTTATTCATGCACTATTGCAATTTTCTTTGCACATCAGGGGAACTGATGCTCAGTTCAGGACAGCAGTCCTACAGTCATTGTTTAACTAGTTCTCTTCAAACCTGACTCCGCACAGTAGCAGTTAATCTCTCAAGAATGGAGATCTTGAAGAGAGGGTACTAGCCAGTTTTAATAATTGAATCTTTGAGTAGATTGTCAGTGTAGATCCCCATTCACCATCCTTCTGTGCTGTAGGTTCCAAATGGAAGAAACTAACAGATGTGTAGACCATGGCTATGTACATAACTTCACACTGAAGGTTTGATTCTGTGAGACTTCATGTAGAAGTTCCCAATGAAAACAACAAGGAGTCCGATGGCCCCTTAAAGACTAACAGATTTATTTGGGCATAAGCTTTCGTGGGTAAAAAACCTCACTTCTGCATGATGCAGATGCCTCTGAAGAAGTGGGTTTTTTACCCACAAAAGCTTATGCCCACATAAATCTGTTAGTCTTTAAGGTGCACCAGACTCCTTGTTGTTTTTGTGGATACAGGCTAACACGGCTACCCTGATACTAGGTTCCCAATGGTTACTTCTTTGAGCGCTCTGGCTTTCATGCAGCAGATGTATTTGCAATCCAAGAGTGCAGTTCTATACTGTTAATCTCCAGAGAGCCACCCATTCTTGGCTAGATATTGACTTAATATTTCAGCAGACTTCAAGATTTATTGTTTTATAGGTAAAGTATAAAACAAAAATGTTTTTCGGTTTTTTGAGTAACAGTTGGTATTGGTCAGAATTCCAAAGGGAATATATATGTATTGACAAATAATAAATTGTGGCCAGAGAATTGTAACGTTCTTATGACTGAAAACATCCACAGCTGCTCAATATTTGACACTATCCTGAGTGAATGGGAGAAGAGAAGGCAACCCTGCTGCAATAATAATCCCCATGTAGAGAAATGGGGAAATGAGTATAGAGACACATTTTACAGGAAAGGGAACTAGTAACCTACATTTAACCTGTCAAACTGTTCAATTCACACAGCTTCCTAAGAAAGGAACTTTTACCTTTAGCTGCAAGATGCAGTTGGAAGAGCTGCAAAGGAATGGCTCATCTGTTTACTTTTGGTTCTAGGATGCAGGAAAATCTAGGAGTCTTTCACTGTCAGAACAGTAATAAAAGGTGTAGAGAGACTATCCAAGGTTAGAATAAGGATATTTAACAAAATGTAACCACCCATTCTAGTCCATTAAGAATGTTTTTAAAGGAAAAAAAAATGAGGGTAATGGACCCTTCATACCTCACCTCTGAATGTTTCTGAAGGGGAGATATTGTTGAAGATGGTGTTCAGCGTTCTTGTCTTTTGTTTTGTTGCATTGTACTATAGCATTTTTTGTGCAAAGGGTTAGATTTGTTCATACAGTGTACCTAAACGATGATAAAATATTACCAAATGATGTCTTGAAGTATGCATGTGGAACTCCCACTGAAAGCCCTGCACATATCTGGAGGGCAGATTTTTGGCCAGAAGAGTCCTAACAGAAGTAAATATGTTTGACTAGCACAACATTGATTTTATTTGTCTGTCTTGGTGTGAGAGCCAGTCTGTGAAATCATTTTTAAATCTAAATTCTTAAAGAACGGGAAACACTGACATTTTCCTCTCTGATTTTAACTCTTAATATGTTTTTGAATGATGACAGGTTTCAAATTCAGACTGCCTGTTTATTTCTTTACAGATCTAATGGGGAAGTGGTTTCCCTTCGACCGAAATCTGAAATTGAGCCACTAATAAAACCAAAGTTAGATTCTGAACATTTACCGCTTAGACCAAAATCAGTAGAGGTAGATTCAGTTGCAGTAAAGAGCTCTAAAGAACCAGGTAAGATGAAAAACAAATGAAAATACTGTACTGTAGAGCTTTTCTGAGCCTTTTCTATTTAGACAGGGATACCCTCATGGTATTAGAATAAACTTATATTGAAGTATACACATGTTAATATTTAGTGCAAGAGCAGTTACATGTGTTAGGGAATACAATTTTTTAAATAGTTACTGCTGATAGCTCTTTTGTGTAACTGGGAAAAATAATGTACAGTATTTATCAGGCTAATATGCATAGAACTGATAAGACCTTACTTTGTATTGGGTTAGCTAGAAAAAATGAACACCTGTATAGTGGCTTCCTTTTTTCAATTAAAGGGATATTTTTGTCATTGCCTGACCTTTATAAAAAGATTCCTTTTTTCTCTCTGTCGTTTTCTGTGCACCTTCCTGCTGTTTTTGCACATAGAATAACTTTTAATGAACCTATTTAATATTTTTACTACTGTTCATAACATTCATTTATAGTTTTTGTGGAGTCTAGTTGACAGCTTTTGTGGCTAGCTCCTTCATTAGTGCTTTACAATTTTGAATTTGAGTATTTTATGCTCATGAAAATAAACTAACGCTTGCTAGATGCACCTTGATCTTAATCTGACTTGCAGTTCTACCCCTGTCTAATGAGAACTTTAAGTATTGCCCAGAACCAACAACTTTCTGGACAGATGCTATGCAAGCTCTCCCAACATAACTGCTACTAATATATTCCTTCCTTGTCAATAACATCACTGTGTGCCTCCTATTCAGAGGTTGCCTGTTCTGTTAAACTGGATGCTGACTTTTGTGATCTTGTGCAAACCTTCATGAGGGGGACTAGTTTTGAGAACACACAGTTCTTCTGTACATCTGCTTATACCTATTTTTAACACTGGCCTCTAAATGTGAAATTTTCTAGTGCATTAAACCCACATAGTCTCAACCCAGGGTGACATCTTGGACATGACCCTTTAGAGATGTGTAACGGAAATAATTACTCCATTTCCAAAATGTGTAACTTCCCACCCAAACTGCACTGAACTAAGGTGTAGGGTGGAGAATGTTCAATTTTGGACTACAAGTTTAAGGGTCATTACCTCATGGCTCTACAGGCTATACATGGGAGCTTTTTTCAATGAAAAGGGGAGGCTTCCAGTTTCCCGTTAGGATGTGGAGCACTTGCTTCTGTGCCTGCTGGATTCTGAGATGTGACTTTGAAATCATGACTTTTGTATAGAAAAGATAGTTACAATATTTTTAGTGGATTAGTTCTATTAGTTAGTCATTCTCCCTCTGAACGTTGAACAGTTGAACTTAGTGTATAATAAGGCACCCTAAGAATATTGCTAGTACCACCCACAAAAATGCTTAATATGTTCCAAATTATTTCTAAAATAGTTCTTTTTCTATGTTAAATGTGGTGCATATAGAGAATAGATGATGTGGCATCGCTTACAAGTTTTATTTGGATTGCGACAGTGAAGTGACTTAATCGGTATCTGGTTAAGATTGGGACTTTGATAAGCGTAAACTGAACAAAGCTTTTTTTTTCAGGCAAGAATGAATTAATGTTAGTAGGTTGGTAGATGAAATGACTGAGATACTAGCCCCTTTGCTTTACAAGTGTGCCAGAAACCTGTTACTCAGGTTCCCTGTTTGGGGGTTGTATTAGATCTTGTGCTGTTCCTACATGGCCAAGTAGCAGATGTGGCCAACAGCATGTCTTTCTGTCATCTTTAGGCGAGGAGAATGTGATGCTTTTGTTCAGATGTAGACCTTCCCTACAGTTATCCTTGCCTTTGTCTCCCTGAGACTAGAATAATTCACTGCACTGAGTCAGGTCCTGTACACTGATGCCATTGGCTGTGTATTAGATATAGCTTTAAGGTTTTGACATAGGACCTTAAGAACATAAGAACAGCCGTACTGGGTCAGACCAAGTATCAGAGGGGTAGCCGTGTTAGTCTGAATCTGTGAAAAGCAACAGAGGGTCCTGTGGCACCTTTGAGACTAACAGAAGTATTGGGAGCATAAGTGTCAAATTTGCAAATGAACTGGAGCTCAGCAGTTTCTCTTTGGAGTCTGGTCCTGAAGTTTTTTTTGCTGTAAGATGGCTACCTTTACATCTGTTATTGTGTGGCCAGGGAGGTTGAAGTGT